ACTGTTCTCCTGACCAGGGACGAGGCGTTAGTGCCGCGACACTTGGGGTAGACTGACAAAGACTGTTTCACTCCTGACCAGGGAAGAGGCTCTGTAAGAGCCGCAACACCTGACAAGATTGACGAGAATGTTCCCCCTTTTGGTGAATGAATAGGCTCTAGTAGAGACAAGACAATCAGAGAGTTTGCCCAGACTTTTCCAGGGAAATTCTCTGTTAGTCATTGAATCGCATTAATTCCTTCGACGCAATCATTATTAATTGCTCCCGCAGATACTTGAATGAGCTGCATGATAGGTATGAAAATTTAAGAAGAAAGGGATTTATTAAGTATGTTTGTTTCAAGTGCCAGGGAAGAGTTATTAAGATATGCCAGTCCCTATGGAAGATGACACATTGGCATTGACTTGCATAACACTGTCATAAAAGCTAACAGTAACACTAACATTAACATGCAAGAAAATGTATATGGAATCTTCTCCAATGGAAATGTTTGAGGGAGGTATGCTGTACAGATGAATTTGCTTATAAGCTGAATTATTCATCACCATGTTTTCCATTTTGTGCAGCATACTTCCCTTACTTTCATTTCTTTGCAGGTTTGCTTCAAAGGAAATGTGCTGCTAGGCAAAGAGGAAATCCTGCCTAATTATCTTAGAAGACTTAAAATGCTCTTTATCGCATCACCTCAATGATGAAGTGGTGGTAAAATCCATTACAATTGCCTGACGTTGATCATTAAAAGGATTTAAACCATCATCACTTTTATCGACAGATGAAGACCACCAAGATCATTATAAAAAGGAAAGAAGAATGGAAAAAATAAGAGAAAGGAAAGGAAAGAGAAAAGGGAAAAGAAGAAGCAAAAGAGCGAAGAGAAAAAAGACACTAGCAGATAAAGATGGAGAATGTAGAAGATAAGATGCCAGCATGGAAGGTGAGGAAGCAGAAAAGGTAGACAAAGAAGAAATAGAGGAAATCAATGCCAAAGGGGAAAAGGAAAAAAGGGGAAAAAAGAACAGGCTGCCAAAGGAAGAAGTTGAAGAAGTCGTTGGATGTTGGATAATGTAAGGATATTATGGGGAGAAGTTACTTGTTAATCACTTCTAGGAGTTAAAGGGTGAAAAAAATTAATGCAAGTTTTTAAACTAGTTTGTAATTTAATTATGTTAGTGTTTGTTATTTAATAAGTACTTAGTGGTTATGATTACTCAGTAAGTAATCATGCATGTTTATCAATTTGAGTATTCTTGTTATCTATTTGTTGGATAACATAAGGATATTATGGGAAGAAGTTTCTTGTTAATCACTTCTAGGAGTCAAAGGGTGAAAAAATTTATGCAAGTTTTTAAACTAGTTTGTTGTTTAATTATGTTAATGTTTGTTATTCGTTAAGTATTTAGTGGTTATGATTATTCAATAAGTAATAAGGCATGTTTATAAATTTTGATCGAAGAAAAATATAAATTATTGTTGTTTTGCTGTATCACATTCAATAGATGTAGAGCAGTTGTTAATTGAAAGTTAACTCTCAATCTTTTGAAACTTTCTGTTAGTTGTCTCCTCTAGCTGCTACACACTTCCTTGTAGATGGGTTATGCAAATTGGGTGTTAGATCCAGATGACAATTTCTACCTGATACACTTGAGTATTCCCATTACCTATTTGTTGGATAATGTAAGGATATTATGGGGAGAAGTTTCTTGTTTATCACTTCTATGGGTTAGAGGGTTAAAAAATTAATACAAGTGTTTAAAATAGTTTGTATTCTAATTATGTTAATGTCTGTTATTCATTAAGTATCTGGTGGTTATGATTACTCCGCTGGTAATCATGCTTATTTATTGATTATGAATTTTGATAAATTTTGCAAACGACATGTGCACTTTACAATGGCATGTTGTAAGTTATCTTTAAATATGTGGTAGAAAGGGAACGTCAAGGGAGGAGAGCATCTGTTAGACACTAACTTACACCTGTTTCAACACCAAAATGCATGTCCCATCCCTTACCATATCTCTTTCAAATATTTTGGATTATTCTCATATTAACGGGGGAGGGGTTGAGGGGAAGATAGGTTGAGACCCAAAGAAGTTGCGTCATGATCTGGTCACGAAGTTTCGTAATTTTCGGTAGTTTAGCAGCCACGAAACAAGAAGGAATAGAGAAGCCATTTATGAGGGATAAACTAATGTAAGAAAGCGTTCTTACCTAGTTTCTGCATTACAGTTCCTTTACATTCGCCTACTTCCCGAGATTTTTTATAGTAGCAGTAAACTCAAAGTTTTGGTTAAGTCCGTTAATGCCAAACTTTACTAACCAGTCGCATCGTTGAGCTTCTGCAATGAAGTGAAGATACGCTGCTCCTTGGATACCAGCCTCTCCGTTACTCCTTCGTGGAGCAAGACTCGACCCACTCTAGCGATTGGACTCATTAAAACTTCGTGAAAACCCCCCTTTTTTACGTCTCAACCTATGAGATACTATTAACATTTTAGAAGGATTTGAAAGCCTTAAACTTACAACTCCCATACCAATAGGACACTCACACACTCATGCCCATTATGCCGTGTGGTACGTAAGGCGGCTACGACGGATCGCCACGTCTGTCGGTTCCGGGCCAGCTTCTGGATGGTACCCCAAGTGTGTAGAAAGAAGCATCTTATTCATCTCCTTTAGGGTTGAGGTTGCCTTGGTATATTTTACTGTTGCGAGAAGAATATTGTGTTCATCATGGTTCTCTAGTTGTATGTATGGGAGGTGGGGGTCAGGGTTAGTATCCCCCTCCTTTGAATCTCAATTAAAATGCTTTTCTCTCGTCCACTTTTCCGCCTCTGAATGTTCATTTTTGTAGCGATTTACCTTTACCGACAAAAACAACATGCTTAAAACTTTACAACAAGTTTCTATTCCAAAAAAAACTGATTTCGAGTTTAAGTGGAAAAGTATCCTAGAAAAGTACAGCCAACCTCGTTGTTGGAATCTTATTACCGACAAAAGTTCTTCAAATATTTTGGCCGAATTATCAATTACTTAAAACCTGGAGTTAGCTATACGTAGCGGTAGATGCCTACTGTGATTTTAAATTCCATTCCTAGTCATTTGGGTGCTGTTCGAAGTCTGCGTCCATACTGACAACACCCCCTTCGTCTACAAGCGTTGGACGGGGTGTTTCAACCACTATCTGCACCCCCTCATCTTTTGGTAATGCAATTCTGAAAAAAATAAATAAATAAAGTAAGGAACTGCTGAATCAGCGCTAATTGATTTTTGAAATATTCCTCAATTTATTAAGCTTACCACAGCTAAAGTGTAACTGGCCTGTAACGCCATTTAGTTTGCTATCAATTATAAAAAAACAACAACAACAAAAAAAGCCACCATCGATAAACAATCGCAAGAGAGAAAAGTACCGCTAACAGACAATGAATTTAGATTGTGAAACGGAGTCTTTTTTTGTCAGGAAATGGATGAGTTTTATTTTTTACTCACATCAAATGTGGCCTAAGCCTTCACCAACATTAACCTGTCCCTACCTTAAACTGATCGTGGGTGGCATCGAGGAGACCAGCTGCTCCAACATGAACTTCTGAGGAGTCGAATTTCTTGCCAAAATGAATCTCAGCGTACTTTCTACATTGAAGAGGGACTTGCGGCATCTT